CGCGCGGCGCGCTGGCTCTGGAGGCGGGCCGATGGGCTCCGACAGCCTTCCGCCCGCGGCCGCCCTCGCGTCTCAGACCCCGGACCCGGTCGTTGGCTTTCAAAACCTGCGCTCACAAAGAGATCGGAGAGCCGTCACACCACAGAGAGCCGGAGTTCATGTGACCGGCGCGGTGCAGCCCGGGTTCCAGGGACGCGGGCTGTGGATCCAAGGGGAGCGAGGGGTGGGGGTGGGAGTGCTTTGTGAAAAGCCTCAGTGTTGTTTTCGGCCAGAAAGGACAGAATTCCTGGAATCCTTGAGGGCACGGGCTGGAAGGGGCTAGACGGGCTGCCCAGGAGGAAACTGAGGCCGGGCCGGGAGTGGCTTGCTGACCCCAACTTGCTGTTTCGCCCCCGTGGACACGGTGCCCTTTCCAGTTACGAGAGACGACCCTCTTTCCTGGACAGGTTCACTGAAACTCGTGTTTACTGAATGCGGAACGCAATGAAAAAAGAAAAAAAAAAAAAAGTGTAAGCAGGTGCCCCGGTTGCAGTTCGGGAGGAGTGAACCCCCCCAACTGGAACCGAGAGGAGAAGGCAGAATCATTTTTTCACTTCATGGAACCGTGGGGATGTCTGGGTTGGAGCTGGTCTCAGAAGGCAACCGGGCAATATGCAGCTCTCAGTAAAAAGGGAGACCAGGCCGGGGCCGTCTCATCCTGTCTTACCCTCTCCCCGTCTATGAATTGCCTGTTCATGTGTGTATCCACAACAGCGTATATTACTGGCTCCCGTGTTCTTGAAATTTTACATAAATGGTATTTATTCAGCCCACATCCTGTTGCAGCTTTTTGTTATTTTGAGATACAGCAAGTGTAAACAAGCGCAGCTAGCCGAGCCATTCCTTTTAACCACTACATAGTATTTCGTGGTCCTTCCGGGGAAGTGAGAGGAAGCTGCTGCCAGGATCGCAGACGTACAGGGCTCATTGTACTACATGTGGAATAATGAGCGGCAGGAGACCCTTCAACTCTCCCAGGCTTCAGACTGCTCACCAGAGCTGATGCCCCAATACCCTACCACCCTACAATGCTTGGCTTCCTGTTTTCACGTCCTGGCCAGCGTTTACTGATAAGGGACTTGGAAACTTTGTCAAAAAGTTGAAGGAGAAATGAAACTCCTTATTCTCATTTACATGTGTAGTTAGGTTACCCTAATTAAAGAAAAAAATTTAAATTTACAGCACTAACATTAGTTTTCTCACCTTGTAAGGTTCTCTTCATATCCTTTGCCTGTTCTGTTAGAAGGTTTTTCTCCCATCGGCTTACCGTGTTTTACAGAAATTACCCTCTGGTTATTAATCCTTTCAAGCACCGAACAGCTAATGCAGCTGCTAGTGCAGTTCCATTTCTTTCTTTCTTTAGTGCGTCGCCAAGCCTGGGAACCACACCCAGCCGTCTTACGTTAGAGCGCTGCTCTACCACTGAGCTACAGCCTTAACCCCCCCTTTTTTAAGTTTACATTTATTTGCTTTTTCATATGTGGGTGGGGAGTGGGTGTGTTCACACGTGTGCCAAGAGCATCTGTGAGAGGACAGGCCCTCTGTAAGCTGTCAGAGCACAGCTTAAAGCTGCTTCTCCCCCTTCAGCGTGAGCTCCTGGGGCTGAACTCCTGGTGGAACACAGGGTGGCATTTCAGCGTTTCACCGTGTGCAACATCGATCAGGACCACAGGCGATTCAGTGGTTCAAACCTTCACCATTTCTTAGTGTCTGGATTGCCCAAGATGGCTTGACTAAGGCCTCAGGCATGCTAGGCGAGCACTCCGGACCCACATCCCCAGCCCTCTGCTGGCTGTGTTGAGATACTCAATAAACTGTAGCCAAAGTTTACCCTGTTTTTTCTGGAAGAATTTTAAGATGATTCCACTGGAGTCTACCATCTCAGGAGTCATTTTCTACCTCTTACAGATGCTCAGGTATATCTCTCTCCGCCTTTTGTAGGCTAAGGATATAACTGTTATCAGTGTTTACTTTTTTTTTTTTTTTTTTTTGAGACAAGAATGTCTGTAACTTAGGGTGGTCTGAAGCTTGCACTGCATCCCAGCAAGCAGTGTTCTTGCCTCAGCTTTCCAAGTGCTGGGTTATCCTATTCATGAATGGAGTCTAATTTTAAAGTTACTTTTTGTTTTTTTACCATTTACTTGTTAGTTACACTTAATTTTAAGTGGTTGCCGTAAGTTAGAGAGTATCTAGACAGGGTCTTTGTGCTGGTTTAGGTTTTTTTGTTTGTTTGTTTGTTTTGTCTACTTGACATATGTTCCAGTCCTTTAGGAAGAGGGGGTCTCGGGAGAATGCCTCTTGCACAGTGGTTCTAATGTTCCTAAGGTTCATAATCTTATGTTGTGGTGACCACTAACCATAAAATTATTTCTGTTGCTGTTTCTTTACTGTAATTTTGCTACTGTTAGGAACTGTAAAATCTGTGCTTTCCAGTGGTCTTAGGCACTCGCTGTGGGAAGGTTGTTGGAGATGCCGGCAGATTGGCTGGTAGGCAGGGCTGTTGGGCATTTCCTTGATTGAAGATTGATGTGGGAGAGCCCAACCCTCGGTGCTCCTTTCTGGGCAGGCGGTCCTGGGTTGTATAAGGAAGCAGATTGAGCAAGCCATGGGGAGCAAGCCAGTGGGCAGCAGTCCTCTGTTTTAGTTCTCACCTCCAGATTCCTACTTTGAGTTCCTGCCCTGACTTCCCTTTGTGAGGCGCTGTGACATGGTGTAAGCCAAATAAACCATTTGTCCCCACATTTCTTTCGGTCGTGTTTATCACAGCAGTAAAAAGCGAACTAGGACAGTCTTTTCTATGTAGCCCACTCCCTGGTGTCAAAACCAACCTCTTCCTGCCTCTGCCTCCTGAGTGCTAAGATTTATTTCTAAGTGTGCCACCATCATGGCTACCACAGCTGGTTTTTGTAACTGGGTTTCTCTTTGTAGCCCTGGCTGTCCTGGAAATCACTCTGTAGACCAGGCTTATCCCAAACTCAGATCCTCCTGCCTCTGCCTCCTTTATGCTGGGACTGAAGGAGTGAGCCACCACCCAGCAGTATGTGTTTCATTTTACCATTCTGCTTTACAGTAGTTATTCTAGGCCTGGTGCTGGTGGTGGCACAAGCCTTTAATCTCATCTCTGGAGGCAGAGGCAGGTTGATCTTTGTGAGTTCAAGGTTAGCCCAGTCTACAGTCGGAGTTTCAGGATAGCCAGGGCTGCACAGAGAAACTGTATCTCGAGACACAATTAGTTATTGTACTTCGCAGGAGCTGGAGAAATGGCTCAGCAGTTAACAATACTTGCTGCTCTTGCAGAGGATCTTTTTCTTTTTAAATTATATCCGGGGCTAGGAAGATGGCTCAGCAAGTACAGACTAAAGACATTTGCTCCCAAGCCCGGTGACTGTAGTTTGATCCCTGGGACCCATAGGTAATAAGGAGAGAACTACATGTTATTCCCTGACTTCCACACATGCCTTATGGCACCACATCCCCCCCCCCCCATACAAAATAAATAATGAAAAAAAAGTCTAGAAAATTGTATCTACAGAACTTTTCCTTTGCCATTATTACGCAAACAATACTGTATAGCAACTATTCACCTGTCGTTTGCATGTGTTAGTGTCACTGAGTAATCTAGTGATGACAGAGTATACGAGAAGGCACACGGAGGCTCTGCAGAAATACATCGGCACTTTAGACAAGAGCCTGAGCATCCATGGGGCTTGGGATGCGTGGGGGGTGGTTCTGAAGCTAGTCACCCCAGGTGGTCAGTGACAACTGTGTAATGTGCCATCTGAAGCCTTGGGGACCCTCTTGGGCCTTCTGTATTCTATTTCACATTTTTCAGGAGTTAACTTTCTGTTTCTCTGTATTTTATTTCTTACTAGGATGTGCTTAATTGTTTCTGTAATTGTATGTACTCTTTTGTATTTCAAGATTACCAATTGTGTATTTAAACATCAGTGTGATATTCTGTAATCAGATTTAATTTTGTTATGAACTTCACATAGAAAAGATTGCTATCATCTGTGTCCATACTGCCTTGAACTGGTCTGATCTCAGAAGCTGAATGGGTCAGGCCCGGTTGGTACTTGGATAGAAGAAGGATTGCTTCCCCAAAACAGTGTTAAATATTTTACATTTTCTTCAATAAATGGCTATTCTCTTTATAAAATGTCTTGTTTGGGTTTTTTTGTTTGTTTGTTTTTGTTTTTTTGAGACAGGTTTCATCGTGTATCTCTGTCTAACTTGGAACACAATAGGTAGACCAGGCTGGCCTTGAACTCAGAGCTGCCTGCCTTTGCTGGGGTTAAAGGCACTTGCCAATATGCCTGGTTACAAAAACATGTTGTAGGCTCAGGATTATAGCTGGGTGGTAGAATATTTGCCTACCATGTAAAAGGGTTCAGGTCAAATTCTCAGTACCCATTCCCCCAAATTATATATGATGTTATTATTTACTTTTTATTTTAAAAGCAGTGTGAATAAAATAAGTTATTTGAAATGTGTTTTGCTTTTCAGTAGAGCTGGTCTTCCATCTCCCAA